AAAAGAGGTACATCCATATCTTTATTGGCGTAACAGTATTTTAAGCAGAATAATAGTACTGCATAAACATAGCCAAGTAGTGTTGTTGCGCTTTTGCTATTTGTACTTCAAACCATAACCATGTGTTTAAAATTGCCACTGTGGCTCTTGGGAAAATACATTGACCTCAAAATGTAATTACAATGCAGTTTAACTGGAAACATGATCAAGTTAATTGAGCTGAGCTTCATGTAGAGTTTATTAGTAGAGCTCTTCAAATTCAGGACCGGATCAGCCATGATTTATCCATAGTCAATAATAAGTCTGGTCTCCAGGCTCAGTCATCTTCATTCCTGGAGCTTCCACACCATCCAGGCCTCCTCAGTGACCTCTTCTTACCACTCCCATGCAAGGTTGATTTTGGATGTCTGCTGATTTGTTCTCCGTAAACCTCATCATCTTCTTTTGCATAAGGTGCCTCAGCTCTGCTTAATCTACGAGCAGCTTCTAATCTTCCCTCCTTTTGGCCTCTTCCTTCCCCCTCAACTTCACTCCTTCCTTCGTCTGCCTCTCCCATCCCTGTAAAAGTTGAGGTAATGATCGCCACAGGCGGAGGATGTTCTGGGGCAAAGACCTTCACCACATTCGATAGGAGAGGAGGCATCGGTGCTTTTTTCTTCTTCGAGGTGAGTTTCGGAAATCTGGGGCTGTTCTGGATTTCCAGGTGTTTCCGTATGGCTGTGCTCAGCTCTTGCGGATCCACCGACGCTCCGTGAACGTCCCATGTCATCCCGTCCTCGTCCCACTGCACCTGCTTCATGCTCCCCCTCCTTCCAAACTGGTCCCTTTCCACTCCCTGGAAGATCTTCATCTTTAGACACGACCTCCTCCTCTCATGGTCGTGCAATGACGATGTTGAGTTAACATCCCACGTCGGGTCGTCTCCTTGCCTCTCCTCCTGCTCCTCACCCTCTCTGCTGTTGGCTGGGAACATGCTGGAAGTCGGGGAGACCAGGTTGGAGTTGGACCCCACTAAAGTCTTCAGGTTCAGTCTTGATCCGGGCGGCGAACCCAGAAAGGAGTGGGAGCCCATGTTGGAGGTGTCCCTTTTGAGGCCCCACAAGGAGCCGTAAGGAGAGACCGTCTGCACCGCTGCGTCTACCAACTCCCTCTGTGTCGTCATTGTCCCTTCCTCCCTGAACTCCGGAGCCTTTGTGATGCTCTCTCTGCTGTTCAAGTTGCACCTGCAGCAGTCGCCCAATAGAGAGTCGCTCAAGGAAGAAACCAGGGGTGACGTCCAACCCCGGCTTTGTCCCTGTTGCCATGGCAGCTCAAGATGGCTGACTGACGCTCCTCTTTCTGATTCCTGTCCGTCTGCTGGTGAATTAGGCGTCTGGTAGCCTAACATTTTCCCTGGGCTCATCACTTCTCCACCCCGTGAAAACTGTGAGCCTCCAGGACTGTACAGCTCTTCAATAACGCCATCGTCAAGGCATTCAGGATCTGTTGACGCACCTAACCCTGCTAGGCTAACAGATGAGGGTATCGGGGATGGGAATATAAAAGAAAGCGAGTTATTCTCCAGGAAGCCCTCATCCTCTGTGTTAGTGGGCTGCAGGAGATTGGGGGAGTGGGGTGGCAAGGGTGACGCGGTCAGAGCACGCCTTGGTGACTGAAGTGGGGATGGCGAGGGCGCATGTAAGTCTACCTGATGCTGTGGGCTCAGCGTAAGTGTTGAAGAAGAAGAAGTTAAGACATCTTCAGTTGCCTCTAGCGGCGACATGAATGGAGAGTAAGTGGTCATTTTGGAAAAGGGAGAGCAAGGGGTTTCCTGGGTTAGACTCGAGGGGCGTGAAGTCCCACCTTTCCACACAATTGTATCTGGAGTGCTGCTGCGACTGTGTGTGCTGGTGCTGCTCTCACTCCAGCGATGCAAGCCGGGGGGGCTTTTGTGCATGTCCGTGTTGGCGGAGTTGATGTGCTGCCACATGCGAGGGTGCAGCTTCTGCAGCGTCACAGAGTTCTGCTCAAGGTGTGTGTTGGTGCTGGAGCTGCGTCTCAGGTCCATACCGATCCAGGCTGGGTCACGCATGTGCGGCGGTACCGTTGCCATGACCACATCCATGGAGCTCTTGGAGAGGGATAAAATGCCCGCATGATCATCTCCGTCCTCTGACACCATAGCGTTCGCTCCACTGGAGTAGGAGACCGACTGACTGACTGAAGACCAGACCGGCTGGTAGTTTTCAGACGCAGGGCGCCTGGGCCTCGCCATGACAACACCACAAACCTGCGAATAAAGACATATCTTTTTTTAATTGCTCTTTCTCCATAGACCTTCCATAACAAAAAGGTTTTTAAGGCATGCAGCTTCTGCGACTTGGACTTTTTCCTAATTGATTTGGGTTTATGGTAGCGGAGGTCTCTTTAGCTGTTTTTCGAATAAATAGAAAGAGTTGGAGGAAAGTACATGAGGTTGAAGATGCTGGTTGTAGATGCATGTTACATGTTAAAACATTTTCCAGTTTGGGATCAATAAAGTACCTCTTATCTTTTTCTTATGTTGTAGAAGCATGTTTTGACGAGGCTTATTGAGCCTAAGATACGATGACCTGATTCTTATTATGGTATACTCAGCTGTGATTGGCTAGTAGGTGGATTTTGTTCCCGCTGAACAGAGCAAGGCTATCTTCCCCAAATGTTCCAGTCTGTATGCTAAACTAAGATAACTCCCTGGCTCATATGTCTCATACAGACATGCGAGTGGTATCAATCTTCCTATCTCTGCAAGAAAGCACATACAATATATATATCAAAATGTCAAATGTAACTATTCCTTTAATCTTTAATAGCTTTCTGACTGAAACACACCCTGATCCCACTCAACACACTCACAAACACATGCACACAAACACACACACACAAACAACCATACACCCACAGGCACGACCAGATTAGCCTAATAGGATTACACAGTCCAGATTATTTGATCATTCAAACAAATGTTGTTTGATCGAAACAGATTAAAAGAGCAGGAGGGATACAAAAAGACAGTGACAATGAAGAGACAATAATAAATTGCAATTATGTAATAACCGCTCCAATAGCATGTTTCCCCTTATTTACAGTTTCTGTTTATTTATGATTTAAAAATACACTTATACCAGCTCTTCATTCTCTCTCTTACTAAAACCAACACTTGTACTCTGTCTTATTTTGTAGCACAGAAACATATAAATCCATATTGAGTTTAAAATAGCTGCCAAACTCTCAAGTCCTCTTCTGTCCTAAAGTGACCTCACAGTGTTTCCACCACACCTGACTACTACTTGTAGTGTGTTCGCACTGGAAAAATACACCCACATATGTAGTGCAATATCAGATAAATGACAACAAATATAATCTTACCTTTATGTTCACACCTTCTGTTCTGTTCCTCTGCCTTGCCACAGAGCAGGTTGTGCTAAATGGCGTCCTTCCTTCCTCCCGTCATTCCTCCCACTCTTTTTCCAACTTTTCTAAGAATAACTCTCTAATTTACAGCCAACTTCAAAGCCTTAAATATTCTGACTAAGTCTTCTCTCACAAATGGACTTCATGTGAAGTTGTCTGCGATGTAACAATGAGAATATCTCTATGTGAATGTGTACATATGCGTGTGTAAAGGAGAGAGGGCCATTACTCCACCTTTAGCTCTGAGGATTAGCTGTCATCGCATTAGCTGCCGTCCAATCTCTGAACAGATTGTGTGTGTGGGTGTGCGTGTGGCTAATGAGCATTTGATTCTCAGTTAAGATCAGATCAGTGTTAAGAGCAGTCATGTTGCATGCATAATATTTGGTTATTAACATATGTACTGTATCAAATTCCATGGCAATCCATGAAATGTGATACAGGTTGTGACACAGTTAAAACTTAAAACCATAAACATGAACCTCATAGCGGTGCTGGAGAAAAAGTCAGTGGATAAAGATAAGAGTAGGATTCATGGGTACTGTGGATGTCTGTCATTGCACTTCTTTCAATTCTTAATCAGATATTTCAGTTTGGTTGGTAAAGTGTTGCACTCACTCCCTTGATGTTGCCAATGCCAGACCAAAACTGTGCTATTTTAGTAACTTAAAGTAATAACTTTGAAGATTTTGATCTAAATAAATGTTGGTCAAGTTGCTGTCTTATGGAATCAGGTAACACAACAGTTATTGAACCTATGACCCAGTGGTGATAGTACGGTAATATGTAAATATTTGCATTAATACAAACTTGGTGTCTTAACATCATTCTTTCAAGGAAAAGTTTCCAAAACAGAAAAATTTACATTTACAGCTATTACATTTAAAGCATTCAACTAGCGTTGCAGGTTTACCTTAATTATGAATTACGAATAATTATGAATTGTCACAGGAAATGAAAAGTGTTTGACAATGAGCTTGACACTGACTGCTATCATTAATCAACAAAGGGTCTACAACAAGATGTGACATCTTCCCTCTTCTCATGGTTTCTCACAGAATGATGGAAAGACTACAATTATTGCCAAACGTCTTATTTTTAAACTACAACAGTTTGTTTCGAAAAATGTAATATTTGTTGATGTAAAAATGGTGTACAAAATCAACCAGGACTGAAATCTTAAGGATGTTACTTTAATTTCAAACTCTGTACACCATGTAATGCATTCTGTATGTCCGTCATGTCATTTGTTATATTTGTAAAATTGATGGACTGACGGGTTAATGAGAATAAGCCAAACGACTCCCAAGAAAATAAAAATGCATTAGAGAATCTAAAAAACAACAGCATAGTTCAAATGGTTGGCTTTAATGTGCACTTTTGGTAACTTGTAAATCTTAAATGAGCTGGTATGGTCCTTTAAAGAGGTGCCCCCGTGTAGCCACAGATAACAGCGTGACATGGTGAGAACCATCCAGCTGTGTCATACTCTCTACACACTGCACACACTCTTCACTACTAAACAAAAAGAGACTAACATTAACAACTAGTGCTTCAGCTTCAAAACTTCAAAGTAATCATGGCAGGTAAGCTGTACACTGACTTAAAAGATATACTCTAGAAAGTACTCTCGCTCTTATGATCTTTGTGTATGTGGTTATTTAGACCAGGCGTTACTCGTGGCTGTTGGTCTGTCTGTGGGTCTCCTGCTGCTGCTGGGGCTGATGGTGTACTACCTGTGGAGGAGGAAGAAGAAGAAGAAGGGTCGGAGTCAGTACGAGGAGCTGCTCTCTATAGCGCCGTCAGTACCAGCATGCACTGCTCCGGTTATCCTTGTGTCTAAGGAGTCCTGGACCAGGTCAGTAAAAAACATGAAAGGAGCAAGACGGGCGCTTGAATTGCAACAATTGTGGGGAAAAACATGTAGCATCTTACACCCTTAGACTGCTTCTTAGAACAAATATCTCAATGAGGTTCTTGAAAGTAAGGGACTTGCAGTCTTATTTGATATGGCATTTAAAATACTGCTGAAGCCACAGTTAATTCAATTGTATCGTTACAGTGCTTAGTTCAATACTCGTCAATTATGACATTCAGGTTCAACATGACCATTGCCAAGGATGCTCTGATCATAGAACCACGTCAAATCATATTAAACATCAGAAAGAAGTCTGAAAATAAATACAGAGTTCAGTTTTCTGTCCTTGAATTATTTTCAATAGCTTCAATGTCATTTGAACTAATACATTCAAATCAATGCAGAATTGTATTGCTATATTGGACATGTAGGAAACAGTTCTTTTTTAAATAGTATTTTTGTGTAATTTCAATTTTATTTGAATATTTAAAGAAAAATCTGCATTTGTTTTTGTTGAAACTGTCTATTGTTTTCAGTAGCTTCCATATCATGTGACCTTGCAACTCAACATCAATGCAGCTTTGTTTCACTCAACTGGATAAGTAGGACACAGCTCTTTGTGTAGGATCTAGTCCACTTTTTAAATTTTTGTGTGAATATTTGTATATTTGTGTGTTTGTTTGTGTGCGTGCCAATTAAAAGGCCAAGTGAGATCCCTTTCACCTTGCCTCCTCGCTTCACGTCACAAAATCATGCTGATCCCAAAAATGAGGAGGAGAAAGAAGACAAAGAGGAGATGAAGATGGAGGCCCAGAGGCCACTGGCCCATCGTGGGTCACTCTCAGTAAGGAGTAAGTCTTTACTGCCTTAATTTATCTGCATTGTTGACACTGGTTGTATAACAGTACTTTTGAGTTTTGGTGTGAAATAAAGTAATTTAAAAATTAAATTCAGGTATAATACAGGGACTAACTAATGCGGCCTATTAAGAGAAAATGACTTTCTACATGACACATCACACATCACTGGGTTGAAGGGGATATTGGATTGTGGGGTGGAATAAAGGTATTTCAATTAAATTCAAATAGCTTTATTAGAATAATTATGACCATACTGACATACAGGATTGCCAAAGCTTTGTACAAGTGCGACATCTATACATATACATTTGAAATGTACTGTTAAGTTCATAAACATTTTGAAGAAATGCAAGAATAATATGTTTTCTTTACACACATTCTTTTTTTTAACATGAACTAGAAAATTCATTTAAACATAAATAAATCAAATATTATTTTACTACCAAAGAATATAAAAAATCACTTTATAAAAAAACAATATGTAAGGAAACTAAACTATCTCTTTTATAAGTTATTTGGACCCTACACACTCCCTAACACGCGTCTCCATCAGTGTGGTACCCGGTGGGCACGGTGCTGGCCGGTCTCTACTCTTCCCCCCCTCTGAACGAGGTGGTGGCCCCTCCTCCCGGCATGGCCACCCGCCTCTGCTTCTCCGTGGAGTACCGGCACAGCAGCGAGCGGCTCATGGTGTCCTTGCTCCGCCTCGCCAACCTCCCTCCTCGTTTCCACGGCAACGTCACACTGGTTGAGATCCGGCTTCTCCCTGACGACCGGCGGCCCCGCCAGGCCAAGGCCCGAGGCACGGGGCCCGACCCCGAGTTCAACGACTGCTTCGTTTTCCAGGTGAAGGCATGGAAGGCTCACCGAATATTTGATCATTTGTTTCACACGCATACAAATCCCACTGAAGAAATATGAAGTACATGTGAAGATGTGGAACAAACATAATGGCTTTTATAAATAAAACCTAGGAGAATATACAGAAGGTCAAATGTAAACACACAAAACCACCATTTCATTGTATACTCTTATGTTTCCCTGCACAGGTGTCAGGTGTGTATGTGCCTCAGAGCACCCTGAGTGTGTGTGTGCTCAGTGTGGGGCAGTACGGAAAACGCCACGCAGTGGGCAGGGTGCTGTTTCCTCTAGAGGGGGAGCTCGCTGGGGCCGGCAGGGTGCTCTGGAGGGACCTGGAGACAGATGACGACACACAGGTACCAGGATGTAACGTTTACTCAAGTGCTGTACTTGAGAACAAGTTTAATATGCTTGTCTTTGAGTATTTCCATTGTATGTAACTTTATACTTCTTGCCAATTACATTTGACTGACAGCTTTAGTTACTTTTGAGATTACATTTTTTCATATCAGTCCACTGAAAACCATTTATATGTTGATGTGTTGAATTTGAATCTTTTGGATGAACCGAAAAGTTTAAAAGTTGAGAAAACTCTTCTTAAAAGTCCCCTATTTTTCAAAATCCACTTCTTCATGTCTTTTAACATGTGCGTTAAGAGATTAGGAAAGTTTCAGGAAAAAAGACCCCCTCTCTTTTTGTCCTGATCCATCTATATAAAAACCTGTCTGAAAATGAGCTGATCAGATTTTGGCCACGTTGTGATGTCACAATGTTTTTTTGGTTGTGCAACCATTAGCCAATAACAAACCGAGGGGATTATGGGATGCTACAATGATCTGTCTGGTATTTCGAGCCAAACACTTCACGGACATGATTCTTATATTTCTGAGACCTATAATATATTATTGAAAAATAGTATAATAGTGGACCTTTAAGCTTTAATAACTTTTATGGAAAATGCTGGAGTTTTTCACGCTGTGGTTTGAGTACTTTTAATGAATATATCTTCCACCACTGCCAGGTAAACACATGATTAAATTGCTTACATGTGCACAGAATTGTTCCTGGAAGCTTATAATCTTTGTCTTCTCTGTCAGTGTTCAGAGCTGGGTGATGTGCAGATATCTCTCAGCTACAGTCCGTCTCTGCAGCGCCTCTCTGTGGTGGTTCCCAGGGCTCGAGGCCTGCAGCTGCTCACAGACGCAGGTACGAGGAGTTTCATGTAAGGGAAAGATCATGGTTCTGACTCTGCAAACCAAACTCTATGGAAGCTCACAGTCATATAAAAAACAAGAGGAAAAAAGAAGACCCCCCCATTATAATGACAAATGTTCTCGAAATAATGACTTAGTTCCTCAGAATAATGACTCCTATATTGAGTGATAATAAGTCAATACTTCACATAAAATAAAGAAATCTATTCATTTTTAGATATTATATCGATAGTAAGTCAACATATCAAAAACACTCCTAATTTTTTTTCTGATATTATGTCAGTCTTTTGAGATACTCAGTCATTATTTGGGGAATATTAGTAGTCTGAAGTCTGTCAATGGAGTCACATCGCCTGTGTGCTTCCCAGGTGTGTGTGTCCAGGTGAGTTTACAGATACACACTCAGGTGGTGAAGATGAAGCGCAGCTGTGTGGCGAATAGCGAAAACGACCCCTGTTTCGACCACAGGACGACGTTTAAACTGCGCTCGCAGCACCTGGACGAGGCCTGTCTGAGATTTGAGCTGCAGCAGCCGAACCCCGTCCGCTCAGGTGAAAGGGTTAACATAATGTGCATGCTATCTGCTGCATTAGCTTCAGTATCAGGTCAGTGTGTATTCACCCTGGCTCTGCTCCGTCTTTCTTGCTCCCACAGAGTCTCCTGCCCTGCTGGGAGTGCTGGTGTTGGGTCCCTTTATGTACGCCAAGGGCCCGCAGCTGCAGCACTGGATGGACATGGTCAACACACCACAGGAGCCGGTCCAACTCTGGCACAAACTGAGAAGGGCCACTTAATACACATATCACACACACATCATGCGTATATTTAGGATTGTCAAAATAAAATTCTTTGCAAAAGCCTGCCTAAGTTTAATAAAGGAACAAGTTCTCTCGATTTCAATATTTTTGCAACCGCTGATTAAGAATCTTACAACTTTACAGGGCATGTAGGTGGAATAAAGCGACCAGTAGGAGCGACTATCTTGTCTTTTCTGTCATCCTTTGGGTTGATATTTTATAAACTGAACGATAACTTAATCAAAGTTATTTGTATAATTACTGTGCAGACAAAATAAGTTTAATTCTTTAAAACATCTGAACCAGATCTTTTTCTAAAGATATAAAGTTAGCAAAATCAATCAAATTCAGGTAAATTATGCTTAATACTTGAATAAGCTTTGAGAAAACAAACAGCTTACATCACATATTTTCAAAGGTTTTATTTTTATTTTGTTACATAAAGTGTTGGCAGCACATTCCTTAAAACAGGAGCCTCAAATTGTTTCTAATAAGGGGAAATATGAAGGGTCTATTTTAAGTTTGTTATGCAAATACGTATTTTTTTTGTTTGTATCAACTTAGATTTGTTAGAACATTGTTTCAACTTGAATTAACTGAATGTATTTGAAAAGTGGCCTTATTAACAGATGAATACTACTGTGTAATATATGTTTAGATATATATTTCAGAATTACAATATAAGCATGAATTTGCTTAGGGCCAATTGAAAATGGACAACCGGCCGCAGTTGTCCCCCAGGCCGTATATACAGTCTATGTTGCCCATGTTCATCCTAACAATTAAACGTCTTTTATTTGGATTTTCTGACAAATAAAAAATAGGCTAGATAATACAACTAATCTTACTTTGCTAAATCTGCCAGAAACTATTATCTTTGCTTGTATTAAAAGGGGATTTTAAGGGATTAAATGTGGGTCTTACTGAGTTTTTCGTAGAATGTGAGACCCTCAAACATGCGCTGGTACATCTGAGCTTGTTCTGCAGCGCCGTCTGGGATCAGTTTGGTTCCCTGAGACTTAAACTGACTCTGCCATTCAGAAAGAAAAGACACATCGTCGATGCCACATATCATAATGTTGGAATTAGTGTGTATTGCATGCTTTAGCTATTTGTATAATGTCCTCTTTATTTGATATTTTATAATTGTGCACAGGCTCTCTCACCTCCAGGTAAAAACAGGCTGCATAGGATTCATTCACGTTGTTGTCTCCATGTTTGAAAGATGGAAGCTGTAAAAAACAAAACAGGTTATATTGAGCAAGACAGATGATTTAAGAGATGATGATAGCCTCATCACCCTCCACCCTGTTTTAATGATACAGCCACAGGTAGCTAATTAAGACAACCTGCTGAGCTGCATTTCAACGACTCTTGGGGAACAACTGCTGCATACGCTCAGGTTTTAACAAAACATGAAGAACTACTGAAGAGAGAACAGACAAATGCACAAGAAACACGGAATTTATGTTTTACTCTTTCGACAGTTAATGGGGACTCAAGCTATAATATAAGCTCACGTTGCCACCTGCTGGTGAGGAGGAGGTATTACAACATATAGATAGAGTTATAGAATGCAGATACTTTTGTACTTTTACTTCAGTAATGCAGAATGCAGGACAGTATTTTTTAGAAATATGACTACTTCTTCAACCACTGAAGATACTGTATCTTGAAATATAGAGTGTTGAAAAGGTTAGCTCCGAATTAATGTTATTTATTGAGGTCCATGATGTGATGAAGATGTGAAGGAAGCCTTATCAGAGTGAGAAAGGGATGTCATTTAGGAGGTTGCCCATATATGGTCATTTAGAATGTTGGCCATGGTCCTTTAGAATGTGCTTTGGAGTTTTGGCATTCTGGAATGCTGGAATGTTGGGACAGACTATAAGTTCCAGGCTGATCAGTCTCCCTTCATTTGGACAGGAGAGGCCAAGGAGGGTAGGAGTGTGATCACTTTGAGAGTTTTTTTAAGTAAGATGAGGATTTTTCATGATGAAGGAAACTAACAGGTTTGGTATGACACAGCAGTGGACTATTTGCAAGATAGTGCTACATTTGGGAGGGATTTAAATGACATGGGGAGGCTGATGATTTTCTTCCTTTTTATTAACACTGTGAAATAGGCTTCTTCAGTTATGAGAAAACGATAGATTGTGAACATTTAGCCTGCAAAATGTGCATGCACAAAGTAAGTATTAGAGAATAGGGTTTGTTTTCTTCTGTTTCTTTACCTATTCTCTACCAGGTAAGGCATTAAGAAAACAGAAAATCCTATGCGGATGTGACTTTGGATCACATGCCGATGTGTCCTTGAGAAAGACACTTTAGCACAAATCGCTCCCGTAGGCATGTCTACGGTATTGAAGTGTTTGTACATTAATATGTTTCAAATGTTCATCTCTACTCTCAAAATGTGAAACCGGGAATTTATCATGTGCCGACGTTTGCAAAAAATAAGTATTGGAGAATAGGGTTTGTTTTCTTCTGTTTCTTTACCTATTCTCTACCAGGTAAGCCATTAAGAAAACAGAAAGTCCTATGCGGATGTGACTTTGGGTCACATGCCGATGTGTCCTTGAGCAAGGCACATCGGAGACATCGCGGTGAGACGGAGTGGCTCCACGCTTCGGGCTGGGGCCTGCTTCCACCGGGCGTGTGCTGCTGTGCGGAGGAGGATTTGCCGCGGCTGGGGCCTGCTTTCCACCTGTCCTGGTTCTGCTGTTGCGGAGGCCTGCTCCCACCTGTCGTGTGCTGCAGTGTCGTGTGCTGCTTTGCTGAGGAGACCTTTTACCCCGGGGATACCACGGAGAGACCGGAGCGCTTCCACGCTGCTGCTTTCGCCTGTCCTTTGCTGCTGTGAGGAGGAGGATTTTTGCCCCAGGAACATCGCGGATACTGTGTGCTGGTCTGGGAAAATGGCCCATATCGTGATTCTGCTGTGCCTGTTAACTGTTCTGGACTATGAGAAGATCTCTAGTCATCCTGAGAAGTCTACTGGATTCAGGTCTGTTCTGCCACCCGCAGTAGGCATCCCCTGCAAAGGGTCGGATGTGTTACACAAACAGTTACCGGTTACCTTGTCGCAGACAATCTGCTCGACAAAATATGTTTGTCTTTTTTGTTTGCCTGCAATGATGGTACTTCAGGACTGCTTCTTAAACTCTAATCAAACTCTCGCAGACTTTTCCGGTGATTCTAAAGTAGATGACAATGTGTGTGTGTCGATTAAGAGGAAAAGATGCCTGTTTTTGTTGTTGTTATTACTGTCAGGAAATGTTCAACCTAACCCTGGTCCGCCCAGTAGTAGTAGTCAGATCGCTACTCCTGCTGATTTTAAAGCTAGGTCTGGGTTGGGTTTCATCCACTTGAATGTGCGCAGTCTGTTAGGTAAACTAGATTTTGTCCGCATTTGGGCAAGCTCGACTGACGCTGACGTCATTGTGTTATCAGAAACATGGCTAAATAAAACTATTTTGGCCTCTGACATATCCTTAAATGGTTATAATGTGTATCGTACCGACCGGCCTAATAAAGGTGGATGAGTTGCCATTTATGTTAAGAATAAGTTCAGTGTAACCACATTGGTTTCCAAATCTGTCAGTAAGCAATTCGAATTTTTAGCCTTAAATATAGAAGTGGCAAAGGGGCAACAAGTCATGGTGGTGGGGTGTTACAGAACCCCCTCAGCTGTCAAGGACTCCTTGTCTTCACTAGCAAAACTTTTATCGCAACTAGACTATAAGGAAATAGTGCTACTTGGAGATTTTAACTGGGACTGGTTAACTGCAGTATCAGAGGATTTAAAAAACCTTTGTATCTCTCTGAATGTTACTCAGATTGTTGACAGTCCTACTCGCCCTAACGTTAAGTCCCCTAATAAATCCTCCCTAATTGATCTCATTCTAACTAATGTTCCCTATAAATACCCATCTGTGGGAGTATTTGCAAATGATGCGAGTGACCACTGTGTTGTAGCCACAATTAGGGACACTAAGGTCCAAAAGGTTAAACCTCGTATTATTATTAAGAGACACATAAAACATTTTGTGGAGCAGGGTTTTGTTCATGATCTGTTTGGGTTTGATTGGGGAAAAATCGATCTGTGTGCTGATGTAGAAACTGCATGGTCTTATTTTTATCTTGGTTTTATGGAAATTATAGATAGACATGCACCCCTACGTACTTTTAGAGTAAAGGGATGAGACAATCCTTGGTTTTCTGCTGAACTGTCCAGTCTCCTACATGAGAGAAACAAGGCCTGTGCAAAGGCTAGGAAATCAGGCTCAGAGGTAGAATGGCTGCGTTTTAGGCAGCTAAGAAATAGCTTCACTTCACATGTCAAAAGTGCTAAGTCGAAGTACTATTTGTCAGTTACCACAGAAAACCTAAATAATCCTAGGAAATTTTGGAAAGCCATAAAATCGATATCCACCGGTGAGATCCGAAATGAGCTACCTCCGTGCATTACCACAGCATCTGGCACTATATCGGACAGGGCTACTATGTTAAATTGTTTTAATGAGCATTTTGTGTCCTGCGGTTCTATGTTTGATTCTGTGACTAACTCTGCTACTGTGAACACCACAGTTGGTGACTCTGAACAATGTGGTCTGGAAAACCCTTTCAGTTTTACTCCTTTTACTGTAAATGTTGTTCATGAAGCATTATCTAAGTTAGATCCTAAGAAACCGGTTGGCCCGGACAACGTAGAACCTTTCTTTTTAAAGATAGCTGCAGATTTTATTGCTCCACCTCTCACTACTCTTTTTAACCTCTACCTCAGCACAAACACAATTCCTAAAGTATGGAAGTCAGCGTATGTCCTGCCACTACTAAAAGGAGGGGAGGCAACTGTTTTAAATAACTATAGGCCAATCTCGAAATTGTCAGTTCTGGCTAAGGTTCTTGAACGCCTAGTGAGTGAACAGGTAAAGGAGTTTTTATGTAACAATGACATCCTGTCTAAACATCAGTCAGGTTTCAGAAAGCAACATAGCACCATCACTGCCACAATGAAAGTGGAGAATGACATTACAAGTATTTTAGATAATAAGCAGAGCTGTGCAGCTCTATTTATTGACCTTTCCAAAGCGTTTGACACCGTCGATCATCGCATCTTAAAGCAGAGGCTACTCAGTATTGGCTTATCCAGCCATGCAGTGGGGTGGTTTGTGAACTACCTCTCTGAAAGGTCCCAATGTGTTCACTTTGATGGGCTGTCTTCTGAGTGGTTGAACATTGCTAATGGTGTTCCTCAAGGTTCTGTTTTAGGTCCACTTTTATTCTCCATCTACATCAATAGTTTAGGTGAAAATGTGGATGAAGCTACTTTGCATTTTTATGCGGATGACACCGTGATGTACTGTGCAGGTCCCTCCATTAAGGAGGCGGTTGTTAAATTACAGGCTGTTTTTAACATTATTCAGACTCAGCTCTCTGAACTAAAGCTTCTTTTAAATGTTGAGAAAACCAAGGTAATGCTCTTTTCTAAAGCTAAAAAGACTCCAGAGACTGCTTTGGATATTGTGACTATGCAAGGACAAGTACTCCAAGTGGTTAGCTGTTATAAATACCTTGGTATCTGGCTTGATGATTGTCTTACTTTTAAACTTCAGGTCACTAATCTGCTTAAAAAGCTGAGGGTTAGACCAGGTTTCTTTTTCAGAAACAAGTCCTGTTTCTCTTTTGAAGCCAGAAAAAGGCTAGTCACTGTGACCTTTTTACCTGTGCTAGACTATGGTGATTTGATCTATATGAATGCACCTGCCCATTGCCTGGAAAGGTTAGATGCCGCCTATCACAGTGCTCTGAGATTTGTTACTAACTGTAAAGTACTTACTCATCACTGTACCCTGTATGCCAAGGCAGGTCTGCCTTCACTTACTGGTCGGAGGCTCAGTCATTGGTACATATTCATATATAAAGCCATGCTGGGTAAACTACCGACTTATATATGCTCTTTGATCTCACGGAGAGTGGCAAGTAGCTATTGCCTGAGATCCCAGGATGTGTTTTTATTACATGTGCCAAGTGCTAGGACTGTTTTAGGTAGTAAAGCTTTTATGTGCGCTGCTCCTCTAGCTTGCAACACCATGCAAAAAATATTGAAACTGAGCATTTTGATTCCCTTGCATCGTTTTAAAGCACGGCTGGATTAAATGTTATTGGATACCTGTCAATGTAAATAGGTTGCTAATGTATACCCCTGTAATTATGTTGTGATGTCCTTTTGTTTTCTGTTTGTTTTTATGTGTAACTAATGTACCGCAGGTCTCCCTTGAAAAAGAGATCGTTGATCTCAATGGGATTTTTTAACCTGGTTAAGTAAAGGCTACAAACAAACAATGTCTACGGTATTGAAGTGTTTGTAATGTAATATATATATTTTAGTTTTCTTCTGTTTCTCTACCTATTCTCTGGCAGATAGTTCATTAAGAAAACA